GACCCCGCCCGGAACCCGCAGCGCCCCGGAGGACGCGAGGTTGCCCAGGCCCCGGGCGCTGAGCCCAGTCTCCAGGCGGGGTGGCCGCCGAGGCCCCGAGAGCGCCCCCCGCGCTGGGCTGAGGGCTGCGCCCCCGCCGCCCTTACTGCTTCACGTTGTCCCCCAGGGCCTCGCTCAAGTTCTTCTTGGCCGCCTCCAGCTCGCTCACAAAGGTCGCCATTGCACCGCGCGTTTCGGCCCGACCGCACACCACCCGGCCACCGCGACCCTCAACCGAAAAGCCAACCGGCCGGAAGGCCTTGGCTCCCGGATCTTCAAACCGCGCCCCGGACGCCCCGCCCCCAGGCGCTCCGAGGACGTTTGTTAGGTTATCGGCTCCGCCCGCCTGACTGTCGCCAAGGTGCCCAGCCAGACTTGGCTCTCCTCCCCACGCCCCTCGAGTCACGTGACCCACTTCACCTTGCCAGTGCGCGCGCCCCTCCTAAACCTGCCAGTTCCGCCCCGCCCCGCCCCGCCCGGCTGAGAGGCTCTGGGGCCTGGCTCCGCCCAGCCCTCCGGGTCAAATTGCACTGTTTCACGCTTTTTTTTTTTTTTTTTGCTTATATTTTTGCTGAGCGTTAATCATCTGATAGGCCGTTTCCTTGCTTTATTTTGTTAATTTTCTGCGTACACTAAAATGTAAATTCCAGAGTACGATCTGTGTGCGATTTTTGTTTCGGGACTGGGGGTTGAATCCAGTTCCCTCCCAAGGAGCGCCATCCCCACCCCTTTTTAATATTTTTTTTAGGGGGGAGGCTGGGGATTTAGCTCAGCGGCACAGCAACTGCTTGGCAAGCGCGAGGTCGTGAGTTCGATTTCCGATACCGGAAAAAAAAAAAAATTTAACTTTGAGACAGTATCTAAGCCTCTGAGTTGCCCAGCTAGGCTAAAATTTGTGATCTTCCTGCTTCAGCCTCTTAGAGAGCTGGGATTACAGGCATGCACCACCACACCCTGCTAGGATTCAGGTTTTTATTCACTTTTTCCTCGCTTTCCTAGAGCAGCGGGGGGCATATAGTGAACCTTCAATGCGTACTTCTTGACTGAATGAGGTGGCTATAGGAACAGGAAAAATACATAGAGAAAAAGTGCTCTACCAATCCCTGGAAAACACTTAACAAATTTTTCCTTCGCTCCCATTCTTTCCCATAATTTATAACCATTCCCCATATTTAATTTTATGTCTTTCAAAAATTTAGTGTAAGTTCTTGTATTATTATAGTGTCCTTATAATTTTTAATAACAGCATATTACTCCAGATAGAATGTACATAATAACTTGTTTCCCAATTACCAGATTACTTTCTTTTTTTTTTTTTCTTTACCAGATTACTTTCATTTTGTACTCTATTAAAATTAAGTAATACTACAGGGAGGGTAGAGAAGGAGTAAGTAAAAGAACTGAAGTTGTGTTATGTGCATGTACCAACTCCCCACAATGGCTGCAATCATCATGTACTGCAAATATGTACTGATAAAAGTAAAGTTTTAAAAAGTAATACTGCAATAATGTCTGTATACACAAAGCTTCTCCTCATGTAGGATTATTATTTTAGGATCGGGTCCTATAAATAGAATTATGAGATTAAATAGTAGGAATATTTACATATGAGGATTGTGCTGGATGTTGTCAAATGCCCTCCAAAAATGTATGTAATCCTACATATAATATAGAAGAGTTGGACTGGGGATGTGGCTCAGTGGTAGAGTTCTTGCCTTGCATGCACAAAGCCCTAGGTTTGATCCCCGCACCACAAAAGAAAGAATTATGTACAAGACTAGTCACGCTACAGATAATCTACAGAGGCTAAACCTCTCGAGCATATTCATCAGCTTCGTCCCAAACCCACAGGCTGCTGCTGCCCACAGCTGGCGGGAGCACTTCCCCTAGGTGAACTGAACTCTAAGGGTGAGCTCCTGTTGTGTGCCTGCATTCTTAGGGTGCTGAGGATATAAAAACAAACATGGAAAGGAAAACCTTCCTCTCTATCATAAAACTTCGGCGAAATTTTGTCCTTTAAAAATTTTTTTATGCAAACATCTGCTTGCCAAGAGTTCGAGGCCAGCTGAACTACATAGAGACCCGGTCTCAAAAAGAAAATAAAATGCAAAAATATGGTGAATGCTGCTGCTAAAGGCCTTCCAATAGAAAGGCAGGCTTGTGAAAACATTGCAGTGTGTCCTCATCTACCTTATTTGGAGAAGCTGTGCAGCTTTTGGCTCTTCCCTGAGGTCACAATGACCATGAGTAAGGTAAACATTAGGAATCAATCCAGGACCTCAAGGCAGCTGTGACAGCCCAACAAAAACAAAAGACTTCCAGCGATGCCTCAGAAAGTGACAAGAGCAAAGAGGTAAGTGTGTTAGAAAAGATGGTGAGTATTTTGAGGGGGAATCATGATAACGTGTCTTTTGCTATAATAATGGTTTGGAGGTCACCTTATTTTTTGATCAGAGGTTGTATGCGCGAAGGCTCTTAAAGGGTTCAACAGAATGGCACTAGGAAAGGGCACAGATGTCTGGCCGTGTCTTCCATCTTCCACAGCAAGCCTTGCTTCTCAGCTCCATCTCAAGCTACCATTAAGTATGGTAAGATTTGAAGATTATCTTTTGAACCCACATTTGACAAAACCCATATGCCTCTAAACGTATAGCTCAGTTGAATATTCCTTTGTCTCTTGGCAGTGTATATAGCCACTTGCACTAATTTTAGTGTATTCAGTTAAATGTCCACTTAAGCTGCAGCGTTAAATGGTAACATACACACAAATAGACATCTGACTAAATAAAGGCATTTAATAGAATGAATACCAAAGCACTTGCGCTTGGATGGCGTACTTTAAAGAAACTAATTCTAAATCTTTTAATTATTGCAACATTTGTATGGTGCACACCACATATAGGCAACTTAAAATGGCTACAGAGACTATGTGTGAATGCGCTTTGTAAAATAATAAATGTCAGTTTATCTTCTTAACCTATTTTTTGGTCCATCTGTAGCAGTCTTTTCTTTCCCAGTTATGAGCTGGCTTCAGAGTCATGGTAGAATCAGCTCAGGAGGACTGGGAACAGACACTGTGTGAGGACTCATCTTTGCCCGGTATCTGGGAACAGTAGCCCTTCATCTCAGGGGGTTCCATAGCCACAGATTCAGCCAAACATGGATGGAAAATATTTAGAAAAACATGGCATCTGTACTGAACAGCCACAGACCTTTCTGTCTGGTCATTCCTTAAACAATACAACCGTGTCTGCATAGCACTCACATTGTTCTAGGTACCATAAGTAATCTAAATATAATAAAGCGTAGGGGAAAATACATGTAGGTTGTACACAAATACTGCCTCATTTTATAGAAGGCACTTGAGCGTCCGCAAGTTCTGCAAGGCTTCCTGCACCCAGTCCCTCAGAGGTGTGGTGGGACAACAACATATTTCCTCTAGTGAGTAGATATAGATGTCTATTTGTATATGTTTTCCACAGTAAAATAAGAATTGCCATTATTTACACAATCAATATCTTCTTTCTACTGAATTAGAGTGAATAATTGAAGGTTGATGTTATTATTCCTATATATTGCCTATTTTAATGCAATTCCTTTCTTTCATAAAGATAATTCTCTATGAACGCAATACAAAGGAAAACTCCCCTCAAAGAGTATTTTCTCAGCTACTTTATTTACTGTTATGGCTTGTGTCTAGATGTCCCCCCAAAGCCTCATGTGGTCATAGACTAGATGCGGTTTTTTCAGACATGGCTGGATCTAGAGTGTGTGATTGATTTATGGTGCAAGGCTAGGATTAAGCGTGCTAGGATTGAGGGTGTGAGCGCTATCTGCCCTGGATACAATACAATAAGGGACAGAAGGAGGCTTGCTGCTAATGACTTGTAGTTTGTCACTTGTCACTTGCTTTTGTGGTCTTCTGCTACCATGGACTGTTTCTCCTCTGTGGTGCCCCTCTGCCATGCCACCCTGCCTTGGAGCCAGCCCACTATAGACTACAACCTGTACAAATTGTGAGCTAAACAAACTTTTCCTCCTTTAACTTTAGGTGCCGTGTATTTTGTCTCAGCAATATGTAAAGTAACTAAGGCGCATATTCTTGAAAGCTTGACCTCTGTCTACTTCTCAATTCTATATTTTATTAAGTATTGGTGTAGGGAGTTACATTAGTTTTTTTTATTATGAGAGCACTTAATATGAGATCTACCCTTTGTAACAATTGTTGTTGTTTTTTTTTTTTTGTTTTTTGAGGCAGGGTCTCACTTTGTAGTTCAACCTGGCTTTGTACTCACTATGTAGATAAAGTTGGCCTGGAACTCACTTCGATCCTCCTACCTCAGCCTTCTGACCGCTGAGATTATAGGCGTGCACCCTCATGCCCAACTGTAACAAATTTTAAGTATACATTATTGTTGTAGAGCAGATCTCTAGAACCTATTCATTTTTCAGGACTGAAAAATTATGATTACTAACTCCCCATTTCCCCTCCACCCCAGACCCTGAAAATCACCATTCTGTCTTTGATTCTATGAATTTGATTATTTTAGATACATCCTATAAGTGGGATCCTATACTATTTGTCTTTTGGTAACTTTTTTTTAAAATGTACTGGGGATTGAACCCAGGGAATTTTTGCCTGTTAGCTACACATGTTCCCAGTCCTGTTTGTTTTTTATGTTAAAACTGGATCTCAGTAAGTTAACAAGCTGGCCTCAACTTTACAATCCTCCTGCCTCAGCCTTCTGAGTAGCTGAGATTATGGGCCCATGACACTTTGCTCAGCTTGGTAACTGTGCTTTATTTCACTTAGCATAATGTTCTCCAGCTCCATCCCTGTCGTCACATACTGCAGACTTTCTTTTTCAAGGCTGAAGAGTACTCCATTATGTATACAGACCACATTTCCCTCTTCTTTCTTTCTTTTGCTTTTGTTGATAGAGGAATTCAGCCCAGGGTCTCTGCACTGAGCTATATCCCTAGATATATATATTTTTTGAAACAGGGTCTCACTCAGTCACTGAGTTGCCTAGGCAGGGCTCCAACTTTCCATCTTCCCACCTCAGCCTCTCAGAGTGCTGGAATTATAGGCGTACACCATCATGTCAAGGTTTAGGGTGGCCCACATCTTTCTAGTATTAGTAGACTGACCATAAATACAGTGGTACTAATATCTCTCCAAGATCCTAATGTTAGTACCCATAAGTAGGCTTGCTTGATCATATAGTGGTTCTGTTTTTAATTTTTGGTGGGGGGAACCTCCAGTTTTCCCTGAGTGGCTGCGCCATTTTGCATTCTCCCCAACCATGGACAGGGCATGCAGTTTCCTCACATCCTCACTGACACTGGCTGTCTTCTGTTGACTTCAGGGTTTGGTGTCAATAGAGCTATGAGATTTTCCAGCTCTCGAGAGTCATCAGTGATTGTTCTTCTCCCAGACATCTTTTTCACACCTTTTACAGACCATCAACTCTATCTTTACCGTGTGAGGACCCACCGCAGGAAAAACACCTGACCGCCCTACTCCACTGCCACTAACGCGGGCTCATTAGCCGTCTTCTTCAAGCACTGTCGGCAGATGTGTGAGTTGTTTCCATTTGAGACAGCAGCAGCTCAGCTTTCCTGGAAGGACTCTTAGTGCTCTGCTTTAAAATATTACAAATAATATTTTAAATTTCCATCTTATGCTTGCCTTTATTTGTAATCCTTGTATGACATATCATATATGGCATGCCATATGGCATGTGACACGGTATATTGTATATGATACATGCTTATGCTAACTACACACATGATACCTATACATAGGGTTGCATGAAGACACATAGAGGCTTACACTCAATATAAATGTTGGAATTGAATATTCAGTCCCCAGCACAAGATTTTTAAAATTCTGCTTCCTCCCTCTATATGTATGAGTCTATAAACTTTAATGTAAAGGTTATAGGTTTGAAATACTGAATATTAGGCCTTAGTAAAATATATGGTTTAAAACAAGTGGAGAGTCGTCCTGCTCTGATACCACATACTGTATATTTATTTCATGTCTGGAGGCAAAGAAATTCTTAATCCTTTCTTTTCCACCCCACGGATCTCACTCACAGCCTGGCAGTGTCTTTGCAGCCCTTCTGAGCATTATGAGTTTAAATGCAGAAATTACATAGGCTGTATTTAAAACCATTGTATTGAAACACATTTCTGCCCATGGAACCCGTAGGGCTCATAGGCCCTGTTTTGGTCACTTCTCTTATCATGGGGACACTTGCAACCTACAGGAAAGGTTTATTTTGGCTCACAACTGCAGCCTATAAGCCAGGTGTTCCAAGGCAGGACAGCATGGTGGAGGGGTATAGCAGAGAAGAGCTACTTGCGCCATGGCAGACCGGAAGGAGAAAGAGTTGAGAAAGGAGCCAGAAATGGAGCTATCCCCTTCTGGGTCAGGCCCACAGTGACCTGTCCCTTCCAACCAGGACCTATGTCCTCATAGCAAGTCAGTCATAAAGCCCCTGTAATCCAAAGCTCCTGCCTATGATCATGTGAGGCTTGATGGGGACATCTGGGTGTAAACTACAACAGGCCTCAGTTTAAGCCCCTCTAAGGTGCTATAGGTACTTACCCTAGTGTGCCCAGGCTGCTTTAACAAATGGATGGTTCAAACCATGGGTATTTATTTTCTCACAGTTTGCAAGTACAAGTCCATCATAAGGTGCAAGTAAATTCAGTTTCTGCAAGGTCTTTCTTCCTAGCTTAGAGACAGCCACCTTCTCGCTATGACCATCTAAGCGGGCATGGCCTTTCCTTGTTGTGTGCTCAAAGGAGGAGGAGAAAGAGCAGGCTGCCTGGTGGTTCTTATGAGGACACTAATCCTATGGACTAATCCTATCAGATCAGACCTTCACTTTAAGGCCTCACTTAGCCTCAGCTCCCTTCTTAGAGACCCTGTGTCTACCGTGAAAGCATACTGAGTTTGTGCTTTGATGCATGAATTTGGGAGACACAAGCATTCAGTCTAAGACTGTGCGACAGCGTTAACTGCAATTTCTGTCCCCATTTCCCAGACACTCTTGGGGACTGAAGTTCTAGGGCTGTGAGAAATAGGGAAAGACACAACCCTCAAAGGGCTAAGATGCCAGCCTGTTTTTTCAGGGTGTTTTGACCTATTATGGTTGTAATCAACTTGATTAAAGCCCTTTTCCTGGGGTCTGGTTAGGGGCGGGTCACTGGGGATGTGACTTGTCTCCCTCCCTGGCTCCTCCCTTCCCTCTCTGCTTCCTGGCCGCCATGATGTGAGCAGCTTCCCTTTGCCCAGTCCCTTCCACCATGCAGTTTCTATGTCAGAGCTGGCCAACTGTGGACTGTAACCCCGAGCCAAAATACAGCTCCCCTTCTTTAAGCTATAGGTATTGGGTATCATGTCTCAGCAGTGGGGGAAATGACCAAGACAGCTTGATCCTCACCTGGATGCTGTCGGGGAGGAGTGAGGAACCTTTGGCGGGCTGAGCTTAGTGGGAAGAAGTGAAGTCGTCGTGGGCATGCCTTCGAAGGAGATATTGGGACCCCAGCTCCTTGTCTCCCTCTTTTATGCCAGCTACGAGGTAAACAGCTTTTTCCATCACACCCTCCTTGCCAAGATGTGCTGCCTCCCTGCAGGCCCACAAGCAGCGGCGGCCAACTGATCGTGGACAGAAACCTCCAAAACCAAGAGCTGAAATACACTTTCCCTCTTCTCAAGTTGATTTAACTCAGATGTTCTTGTTACAGTAACAGAAAGCTAACACACCAACCACGGGCACAGACCCCCAGGGCTCCCCAGAATGATGCTGTCACCGAAGGAAATCTCAGCAGTCCCTGTCTTCCTGCTCCCTCTGGGAGTCTGACAGTCAACTGGGCCTGCAATAGAAAGAACTCTACCATTTACCATCTACACAAGGCTGAGCAAATGGCGTAAGAGCTCTTGTTAAAGGTGAGCATAATAGCAGAGATGTTTGTGAGGCCTTTAAAATTTTTTTCTAAACATGAAGTATTAAACTGTATACTGTGGGAAAGAACCCCTCCCAACCTCTGTAAACAGCCAAACTGAAATTTGGAAAAGTTGGCCAAAACCTCTGGCTGAACTCAATGTGCAGAGATGAGTTTCTCCGAGGTACTAACATAATATTTTGTACAGAGGTGAAAGTCAAGCACCGGAGAGGTCATTGGCACTCTGGGCACGTGGAGATCCCAAGCCCGTGCTCTGTCACTAAAGTTGTCAATGGCGTGGGGACCCTGTGCTGAGGCAGCCTGGGTGGCTTGAATCACCCTCTGGAAAGAGGGAAAGCCACCAGGGCTGACCTGGAAAGACAAAAGCCTGTCTGATGTCACCCTGAAAAACCTGATTCCAGGGAAGCAACTTCATAAGAGAAGTTCAGACTTGCTCAGGGCTCGTTGGTTGAAATCTTGAAAGGATTCACTGCCTGGAGTTACAGGTCTCTTTGTACCACACTGAGCGCCCCATTCACCTAAGCACCCCATTCACCTCCTGGGAGCCAGGACTTGCCCCAAAGTAAGGAGCACAGTCTTGCATCTTTTGTGAGCTTCACACCTAACTTCTTTTTAAAATTCTATTGCTGTTGCAGAGGCATCTTTTTTGTGTGTTACTTTTCCCTCTATTATATTGTCTACTTTGTTTTGTTGGTACTTTGGAATGTAATAGCGGAAAAAAAACCATGGGGTTAAAGAGCAAGCTCAGGGCTGTTCTGAGTCAGACTTGAATCTTGACTTTCCGCCTTTTAGTTGTGTGACTCTGGACAAGTTACTTAATCATCCACACCTGCAAAGTAGAAATAATATAATTTTACCTCAAGGTTGTTGTAAGAATTAAATTACTGTAACATGTAAGATTACATGAAAGGCCCTGGCACAGAGCTAGACGTGAAATCAAAGTCAGTCTGTGACAGCTCTCATTGTTATGTTGAGCATGTGTATAGCACCATTGCTCAACTCTTTTATTAATTTTAATAGTTCCTCTGCAGCTTTGCTTGGATGTTCTATAAGGACAATCATATTGTCTGTCATCTTTCTCTTTCCAATCCACTGGCCTCTTACTTAATTTTCTTGGGTCTTGTTTGTTTTGTTTTCGTGTTGGCTAAACTGGCACTGTCTAATAAAACACTGAAAAGAATGCTGTATAACTTGGTTGTCTAATACAGTAGCCACATGTGGCTATTTTGCACTTAAAATAGGACTGGTGAGACTCAAGAACTGCATTTCACAGTTAGATTTGAGTACGTGCCTGTCCCTGGAGGCTCTTCTACTGAGCAGCTCAAGACCTTCTGCAGAGTGGGGAGCCGCGGCACGGACAGTGGAGCTCTAGGCCCGGCACCCAGCTTTCACAGCACCCTTCGAATTTCACCCTGGGGAATATTTTGCTGCACATTCAGAAGGATAGTCTTTATTTCCAGTCCATGGAACAGTTTACTATGAATTATCATTGACTGCTTGTTTAGTCAAGCTTCCCTGGAGAAGCAGAACCAACAGGAGCCCTGTGTGTGTGTGTATGTGTGATTGTGATTTTTTAACTTCACAGTGATGTGAAAGTAGCATGCAGTCAGTAGTAACTGTACATCGAATTCTGAATTTTGATATTTTCCCAGGTCAGCCATGTGGTGCAGCACAGTACTGTTCCTCAGTGCTGATAAAGGCAGCAAAGCACAGCTTGCCACAGCTCCCAGGTGATGATGAGGGGACCATGTGGACCACGTCATACCAGTGGACCATGCTGCTAAGCTGTCCATATTGCTCCATATATTTTTGATTTATGATATTCTCAACTTAGGTTTATGGAGACATAATCCCATTGTAGGTCAAGGAGCGTCTCTCCACGGGGAGGAAGGCATTTCTTATGTGAGTGGGCTCATGTGGCTGTGGAAGCTGACAGTCCCGCCCTCTGCCATCTGCAAACTAGATAACCAGGGAGCTGAGAGTGCAACTCCCAGTGTAAGTCCAGAGGCCTGAGGAATGGATGGGGGCTGGCATAACTCCTGGAGTCTGAAGACCCAAGAACCAGGAACTCCAAGATGCTCCATCACAACAAGAGAGAGAGTATTCACCCTCCCTCCACATTTTTGTTCTGTTCTGGCCCTCAGAGGATTAGATGATATTGACAGTACCTCCTCTTTATTCAGTCTACTGACAGAAATGTTAACCTCTTCTGGAAATGTCCTCACAGAAACACCCAGAAATAAAATTTTACCAGCTCTCTAGGCATCCCTCAGCCCAACCAAGGTGACACATCAAATTAACCATCACAAGGCACATTTTTGTTTGGGTCTACTCCCAAAGTCTCATGTGTTCAGTCTCATGTTTTCATGGGGCCTGGTCAGAAAAGGCAGACGGTAGAGTGCCCTGGAAGGGTATCTTCTTGTCCCTGCTCTTTCCCCGCCCCTTTCCTGGTTGTCATGGCTTGGGCAGCTTTCCTCTCCATCCCTTCCACCATACTATTTCTGCTTTGAAGCCAGGTAGCATGGATTGAATCCTCTGAAAAACGTAAGCTAAAGCTGAAATAAATCTGTCCTCTTTTTAAGTGTGAATGTTGAGTATATTGTCCCACTGATCGGAACTGACTAATACAAGGCATAAATGGTTTTTTTTTTCAGTACTAGGGATTGAACCCAGTACTGGGGATTGACCTTTGACCTCAACTACATCCCTAACCCTTTTGTATTTTCAATTTTTTTGATTTTGAGACAGAGTCTTGCCATATCCCCAAGTTGCCTGGGTTCAACTCGAACTTGGAATCCTCCTGCTCATATAAATATATTTCTATATCAATTCAGAAAATAAAATTGTTTCTCTTATTTACCTTGGTGTGGTGAATTACTTTAATTAGTGTTTTTTTTTCCTGATGTTAAACCACTTTTGAATTCTGGTATAAATTCTTCTTGGTTATGATGTATTTTTTAAAAGTTGTTTCTATTTTAAAGAGAAAAGAACAGTAATACAAAATTTCAAAACAAGATAATAGGAAATTAATAATGGTTAATATATTGTGTAATGTTATCTTCAAAGTAGTTGCTCAGATATGAGGTTTTTTTAAAAACACACGGCTGTATTTAATTTGATCATCTCTTGCTTAGGATTTTTGGATCATCCTAAATAAAACTAATCTAATAATTCCGAGGACTGCCCTCACCCATAACAAGATTATGTACTGCATTATGAAAGGAGTTGGGAATTATTTTCTGCTTTTTTAATTCTCTGAAAGTGTTTTAAAAAGAGAGAGGGGGATTTCTTTGTTCCTTGAAAAGTTGAAAAAAATATGCCTAAATTTGCCCTCTTAGTGGATAAGAGGACAAAATTTTTTTTGAAATGTCCAGTTCAATTCCTTGATCATGTGTATTTCCTGTATCTGTGTATGTGGCTTTTCTGTAAACTTTGCCATTCCAAATTTTCAAAAGCTCTGTTTTGACCTGTGCTTATTTTTCTAGGGCCAGGATAGGCTCCTGAAGGTGGATGGTGTCCTCTTGAGTACCACTGTCGTAATTCCTTGCTTATTGTTGGACATGAGATACGTTACATTTTCCTGATACATCAAAGAACCTTTCCCACCACTCCACCACCCTTCCTCTGGGCTAATTTGATTTGACTTTATTCCAAGAAAAATTTAGGGGGCTGTGGTAGTGCAGGAAAGGCCAGAGAAGGTGTAGGAAGGGGTGCCTTTGAAGGATGTGTCCCTAGGCTCTGCTTCCTGGCTGTCAAGAGCTGAGCAGCTTTGCTCCACCGCTTTGGAGTGGGGAGCAGACTATGGACTGAACCATCTGAAACCGTGCACCCAGTGAAACCTCTCTTCCTGTAAGTTGCAAGTGTCAGGGATTTTATCCAAGCAATGGAGCAACAGAAAAGCTAATGAAAGGGTTTTTAAATTCTGAGTCCTAGGTCTTTGATCATATTTATTTATATGTATTTATTTAAAGACACAAGTTCAGCTTTTGGGTTTGCAAACTCAGTGTAGTTGCTGGTCTCCTTCATGCATTTGGGGCAGTTGCTTGTCTGGGAGTTTTGTGTTCAGTCTCATGAAACTGTACCCAGCCAAAGGTGCTCTAGAGCAACCCAAAAAATTCCTGCAAGAAGAAAATGGATCCTCTATCCCGGGCTGTGCTCAGTCCCACCTTTATGGAGAGGCCACATAGGAGGCCAATCAATCAATTAATAAATAAAAATAAAAATATGAAAGTGACATGGTGCAAGTTTTAAATCTCTGGCGATCAGTCACCTTTCACGCTGGCAGCCCTCCTGCTGGTTTCTGTCCTAGCCCTAGAGGCTAATGTTGACTCGTGGGGTGTCACCCAGACAACTCCCCAGGGGCTACCTGAGATTTCAAGAATCCTCCTGCTGCCAGGCATGGTGGGGCACACCTGTAATCCCAGCATTCTGGGAGGCTGAGGCAGGAAGATCACAAGTTCTAGCGCAGCCTGAGGGATGTGGTGATAGTGAGATCCTGTCTCAAAAAAGGGGCCGGGAATGTAGCTCAGGAGAGGTCGGAGAAAGGTGGGGAAGGAGCACTTAATTGTCTGTGGGTGGAAAGATTCTTCCCCTAGGCAGCCCTCCCTCCCTTGAGAGAGGAGACCTCCGCGGCGCGTTACTACTTGGCGGCCACCAGGGGGCGATGCGCGCTCACCTTTCCGCAGGCTGCCAAGGCTACCCGGAGAGAAGCTGCCCCGTCAGGTGAGCCTTGGGAAGCCCTGGCCTGTGGCCTCACACACCCGCCCAACTAAAGAGGAGATTATCAGAGCTTCCAGAACAACAGCGACGGGATCAACGTCATTTCCGAGTTCCAGACAGGGTTGTTACCTACAGGCAGAAGTTGACAAGTTGCCACATTTGGGAACTATCTGGGAGCGGAGGGTCAAAGAGAGAGAACCTGTGTCCACTGGGAGGGGAAGGCTGTGCCCACTGGGGGCCTGGCCGAGCTCACTCAACGCCTGGCGCTTGGGCCCTGCGGGCGGAGAGCAGAAGCCACTGCGAGGTCTCTCATCAGGCCCCGGGAAATAAGATAGAGAAGGTATAAAAGTCCCACGCGAGTGGGGGTGAGCCAGTACCTCCTTTAATCCCGGCCACCACCCCCTGAGTCTTGACTGCTGCTCTCCTGCTGCCCGGGGGCAGAGGGACTGAGGCACAGTTGCAGGATGCAGAATAAATGACAGAATTAAGTTTGGAACTCAGGTCCTCAGAGCCTATATGCGCATTTACTCCGAGGTGATAAAAGTTAACTCCAGCGAGCACTGCCAAGCAGCGTATGGAATACAGTTGTCCCTTGGTATCCACAGAGGCTGGGCTTTAGGCTCCGTAGCATTTTCACATACGACTTACCGATCAGCTCCCGGTGTTCCTGGGTTAGTTATAATGCCTAATGCGATGTAAATACTATGTAAATAGTTGTAGCACTGTATTGTTTAGGGGATAAAGATAAAAAGTTTTTTTATGTTCAGTGCAGACACTTCTTTAAAAATATAATTTTAATCTGTGCTCGGTTGAATCTGCAGATGGAGCACCCGCTGGTGCAGAGGGCCCACTGTCGGTTTTATGTTCTTTACTAAATCCTCGTCACAGCTCTGTGGAGTATGTGCTGTTAGCAGCACTCCTAGTCCAAATGGGGACAAACTCGGGCGCACAGCGTGAAGAAACCTGCGCATCGGTGCACAGCTGGCCCTGGAACTGGTGGGGTCGGACCTGAGCCCGGCAGCTTTGCTCCCAAGCGTACACTTGCTACCGTGTGCTGCCGCTCAGCCTGGTACCGGTGTCCTTTCCCACTTCCTCCCCAAGATTTCATCCGAGACAAGTTGAGATGATGTGAAAATCCCTTGCTGCCCTCCAAACACTACAGCTGAGGCCATTTTCCCAGCCGCTCTCACTCCATTGCCCTCTCTGCAGTGCCCTGCTCCTGTGCCCTGCGAGGGTGAAACTCATGCATGCTCTTTATCTGCATTTTGAGAGGCCCTTCTACAAACTGCTCTGGGATTTGTCTCCCCCACCCCCGCCTTCTCTCTCTTTCGCCGCCCGCCCCCCCACCCCCCAAATGCCTGAGCCCTGGGTTTCTTGCTTTTCACCAATCAGAATGGTGTAGCGCCCGAACCAGGCAAATGGTATCAGAAAGGCCGACTCCATTGAAAAGTCTAGGAAGATGAGGCTGGTCTCACCCAGGCTTCTTCCACATGCAGCTGCCCCAGTTGGCTTTATGCTTACATCTCCTCGTAGGACTTGGGACTTCAAAACAAACAAACAAACACTTTGCTACTTCTGCATCCTTATGATCTATGGGGAGCCCATAACTGTAGCTTTGTGCGTGAAGAAGTACAGACTAGGTTCATGCAGTTTGGCTGCTTCCTTAGCAGCCGTTCTAACCTGCAAGATGCCTGCTCAGTACAACATGGGCAGTGTCTTTGCTAGAGATCAGGTGCTGCTGGGAAACCGCACACCCTGCAATACCTATTGTATTGCCTATATCCTATATCCAAACGGATATCCTATACCCAAATGGCGGGTTTTTTTAGAATGCCAGTACCAGGAGATTCAGACTTTTTTGCTATGTGCCAGTGGAGGAAGGGGCCTGTCTCTGTGTGTTCTAATTCCCAGCACAGCCAGCTTCTAACCGCATAACGACTGTAGATAAACATTTACCAAGCACTTAATATGCCAGCATGAATTATTCCAATGTATAATCTCTTCCAGCAATTTCCGTATCACTTAGTGGAGACCTAGAATCAGCCAGGCCAGGACAATGGAATCAATTCCATCTGGTTGCTATGGAGAATCCAATGGGGGGGGGCTACAGAGACAAGAACGAGGTCCGCCCTCCGTTGCTGGGACTTGGTATGACCAAAGGAGATTGCTAGACTTTACCTGCTCTAACAGAGAATTATTTCTATTTAATTTGTCCTACTTTAGTGTTGATAAGAGTGGTGGTTCTCAACTTTGATATTAGGAAACAAATTTTAAAAACTCCTTGCCTAGGCCCTACCCCAGACAGATTAAATTCAGATGTCTGGGGAGTGGAACCAGGTCTCAGTATTTTTCAGTTTCCCTAGGTAATTCCAGTGTGCAACCCTGCCTCCTAGTTTTTCCCCTAATCCTAATAAGTGGTTAGGGGCTGGGGATTTAACTCAGCGGCACAGCGCCTGCCTGGCAAGCGCAAGGTTGTGAGTTCGATTCCCAGTACCAGAAAAAAACAAACAAAAAACCCTAATAAGTGGTCCACTGTACAGGATACCTGCAGCCAGGGCAGAAGACCCCGTGTCGGGACCCCCATGAAGCAGGCTGAATTTAAGGAGGCAAATTTTGGGACTTGTGCAATGATTAAAATCACAAACTGATTTTACAGGATCCTGTTATTAAAAGGAAGACAGAGCTAAGGGAGGGCATTCTAGAATGGAGGCAAACTGATCTCTGTCACATGGAGAAGGTTGAGCTTGGTCCTGAGAGCAGTCTTAGCTGGTACTAGGTGGAAGTTTCCCTTTGGTTATCCCTGAGCTTCGATAGAATTCACACCCAAGATGACAAGCTGGTTTGAGCTGTGCTGTCTGAGCGGGCCTGGTAGAGGCAGCAGCAACTTTGTTTACACTGATGTGGCGGCTGGACACTGCGGGACATGGGCAAAGCAGCAGGAGCAGTAAGCACAGGGAGAGGAGAGGGCAAGGTCCAGAGCCAGGCAGTGACAGGAGAATAGTGGTGTCCCAGACTGACTTAAAGCCTGTGACTCAGACTCCTTCTGCCCTAGGACTGCCTGAGGTCTCAGCATCCATGAATGTGAGGCTGGAAGTTCCAAATGAAGAGGTGGGGTGGAGGAGCAAAGGTACTATCATTAGACATAATAATAAATACGACCTCCCTGTACTCATGCACAAGTGCTCTGCTATATTATAAAATAATCAAATAGCTCAGGAGTCTACCTCAAGCCCTGAGCAAGTTTCCCTTGACAACCAAGCCCCACCCTAACATATGCAAGTTTCTCTTTAGCTTTAAGTGTTGGACAAAAGTCTTTATGGTTGCTGTGAGGAGAAAAGTCTCTGCCAATGATGAAGCCGCCCAGGATTCAGAAGTCCAGGACCCAAGAACTTCCTGAGTAAAAGGCTTTTGCCTAGCTGGTGTAGTCATGAGTACCAATGACCCCAGAAAGCTTGTACTTGTCTTAATCTGTGTTGTCTTTGAATTATTTTGTCTCTATCTTCTGTATAAAACAGACCATTGGGGAAAAGGAAAGCAATTGCCTCGGTTTAGGAGGTAACAGTGCAATTTTGAAACATCTGTCACATGCCTGTTTACCTTTTCCAGAATCCTCACCAACAGTGTCACACTATCCCTCTAGTCATAATTTCAAGCACTATGTCTCCATAGAGATGATTCAGGCTCCCGTTGCCATGGTGATGGTTCCACAGGCTAAAACACTTCCATCAATCCTTCCCCTCCTCCTTATTACCTCTGTCAGCTCTTCAATCCAGGCTCTTATTATGTCTTTGGGATCTAGCACCAGGTCTGAAGGATAATAGATGGTCAACGTATTGAATGAACACGTCTGATCAAGACTATTAAAATAGCCCTTACCTGTTATTTCCCCTCTCCACGCTTTGTCCTGTGGGCTGTTATGCTTCATCATTTTTTTTCACTCACCAGAGTTTTTAAATTACAGAAGTAAACAAATGTTCATTTTCAAAAACTCAAACAATAAAAATACATACAAAGTTAAAAATAAACATTCTCTCTCCATGAAAATCAATGCTTGCTGGATCAACGATTTATGCATAAAACGATAAAATCTCTAGAAAAATCTGCAATCAGGAAGAATGCTTTAAATAAGAACAATATCTACAAGCCATAAAAAATAAAATTAATATATATGCCCACATAAACATTTCAGAAAGTGTGTAGGGAAAGAAGTACCATAAAGACAAAAGACTAATGAAAAATTGAAAACAATCTATTTGTAAAACAAATGATAAAAAGCTAAGGTTCTTCAATTATCAAAGACATTTTTCTGAGTCAGTATAAAAAAGATGATCAATCCAAAAAGAAAATAGTCAAAGGATACTAATATTTGTAGGAAAGACAGCACAATTAATCAGAAAATAGATGTACAGCCGTGATCATAATAAGAGCAAATAATCAAAATCATGAATAAAGAGATAATTTTGACCTCCCTGCTTGGTAGATATAGATGCATAATGACACTTAGTGCTTCAAGCCTGAGGGGTGCTCTCATGAATCATGGGTGCTTTCTTTCCGGAGAATTTGACAATATGTGTCAGAATTTAAAATGTACATATCCTTCCACTGGTAATTCTTCTTCCAGAAATTTACCCAATAGATAAGGTTGCACATGGTCAGCTAAATCTATATATACAAGGATGCTTGATGCATTGTTTTGCTAACTTAAAACACTGGAAACATCCAGCATTCAAGTAGTAGAGGACAAGTTTACTAAATACTGCAACACTAAGTGCCTGTGATGGGCTTAGAATGCCTCTGTTGGAAGAATCAGATCACTCTGTATCCTCAAGAGTCAAAAGAACAAGTTGCACTCTAGTGAATAAGAACAGATGAATACATGCATGTATGATGTGGATGTATGCATTTGCATTCAAAGAGCTTTTGGAATGAATTACAGGATATAGTTATCAGTGGGATGGGAGCTGGTGTAAAAAAAATGAAAGTTTCATAATTTTTAAAGCTTTCATTTTTCTGTGTCTTTTATTCATTAACTGTTTTCTCTGATACATTTATTTTTTATTTTTTATTTTATTTTTTCCAATACTGGGAATTGAACTCACGACCTTGTGCTTGCCAGGCAGGCACTGTGCCACTGAGCTAAATCCCCAGCCCCTCTCTGATACATTTCATATATGACATTTTAAAAACTGTGAGCAGGCCTTTCCGTTTCTCTACTTCTTCCAACTGCAATGGCTTGAGATACTTCTTAAATTCAAGGTATTTTTTTTTCTCTAAGTCTGTAAGAAATATGCAAATATGCATCTTTGAAAATGCATAATTATGATTTTGTCATTACAAAAATGAGACTATATATAGTTCTGCAATTTGCTTTTCCTAGTTTATGTATCATTCACATCTTTTCCTGTAAAGACATACAACATAAAATTCCATAGTAAGAATATACCATAACTTATTTGCCCTTCCCTCTGCTATGCTTTTTCTCTAATTTTTGCCTTTACAATTAATACCGCAATGACTATATTTTGCAGAATGTATTCATGTATCTGTGTATTTCTATAGGACCAACTCCCAGTGTGAAACTCTACGTAAAAGTATAGACCATGGAAGCGCAGGCGATCCAAGTCAAACCACCTAAAACTTTTGGTCTTATGATGTCTTTTAACCTTCCACTGAACAGCACAAGTCATGTGGAGAACCCAAAGTCAAAGGGGGTAGGGGGCCCATGCTCCGCATGCCAGTGAGCCATGGCAAAGACAGGGAAGACGCAGACTCTCGGGTATGTAACACGGTCCAGCTTCATCTGCCATATTACTGAGATGTCTGCATCTCTAGTCTTGTCTTTCTCTTGAGTAGCATTAACCTCTTCAGCAGAGGCTGTCAGTGTCATCCCTGTATCCCCTTAACATTCACCTCTGCAGGCCGTGATCCTCTCCGGTCACAGCCACGACTCTTCCGGAGGACTTGTCCTCAGCACAGCACAGCACAGGGCAAGCGAGAGGCAGTGTGGAGTCCTCGCTCTCACAAGAAACCCTCAACCAAAGATGGGTGCGGAGTCAGGGAGAAATACTCCAGATTCCTCACTTCTCCTGATGAGGGAGCCATTCCTACACAGGCTCCCAGAATCCCCACCGCATCCAGCCTGGCTGGTATGCTGTGAACTCGATATCCAGGCTCCCTTTCACTTCATGCCAGTTATCTTCCAGGAATACAAATTTTATTCCCAAGCCATGTGGGTGTGGGAGTGTGTGTGTGTGTGTGTGTGTGTGTGTGTGTAAGTAACTAGAAAGATACTCAGTACTTCAACTCCTTTTAATAAAGCTTCTTATACACTCAGAGCCTAGCCAGTAATAGGAGCTTTTACCACTTTTAGGGAAAGAGAGACAAAGAAAATAATATTATCCATGAGAATTGGGACTCTGGAGGAGCTCTCTGTCCTCTATCTAGACTTGCTTTTACCAGGGTAGGTATAGGCAGTAAAACTGTGCCCCCCCGCCCAACCACCAAAAGATGTGTCTGATTGCAAACCTTTGGTATCTCTAAATGTGACCTATTTGGAAATAGGGTCTTTGCAAATGTATTTAAGGTTCTCAAGATGAGATCATCTTGGATTTAGGATGGACACCAATGACTGGTGTTCCTATAATAGAGAAAAGAGGAGACTTTAGACATAAACACACGGGCTAAAAAGCCGTATGAAAATTAAGGCAGAGCTTGGAGTCACGTGTCCAGCACACTGAAGGCTGCCAGCAGCCACCAGAAGCTAGAAGAGAGAGATGGGATAATACTCCCTAAAGTCCTGCAGAAAGAGCCAGCCCTGTGGCTGCCTTGATTTTTGGATTTCTAGTCTCCAGAACTGTGCATGAGAACAAGTTGCTGCTGTTTTGAGCCATCTAATTTGTGTAATTAGTTTTGACAGCCCTAGGGAGCCAATGCAACAGGGAATGGGTGGGGAAGGCGTGCCCTGGTTTTCTTCTCCAGCCCTCTGAGCTCTGCCAGTCTTTTCCATTGGCTGAACTTCAGAGGCAAGAGGGTACAGAAGGGGCAGGCTGCAAAGAAGGGTCAGAGTGGGGCACACTGAGGATAGCAGAACTGTCATGAAATAAAAATTATTATCAGTGACAGTTATTTTAAATAAGGTGACAAATGAAAGCATAGCAAGTGTAGCAGGTAACTTGCTTTGGAGAAGATGTAGACCATGAAGACTAAAAGTATTCCTTTGTTGTGGGCTTTTATTGAGTCACAAAGGTAAAAGAGAGCAGAAAGATCATTCACCTCAAGTGTTTTTTTTTTTTAATTTGTTGTTTGTTTTTGTTTTGTTTTTCATATTTTTCACAAAGAAGCAGGCTCATGGAGTTTGGAAACTTATCACCCTTCCCACTTTATAAAGTGAAAGAATTGGTCTTGAAACAAGGTTAATCCAAATCCTTGTTGGTTTTTGAATGTCACCTTTCCTTTTATTAGGACAAAGTGCTACACATACACAAAGGAGAAAACATTTATACGTCTCACGATTTCAGAGGTTTCAGTCCATGGTTGGCTGGCTCTAAAGCAGAAAGGGTATGTCAGAAGTGGAAAGGTGGAGGCAAGCTTCCCACCATGTGGATGCTGTGAATCAGAGTGAGGGCAGATTCAGAGAGGAAGGGGCAAGGGACCAGATATGACTAGACCCAGACACAACCAGAGTGTGTTTTATTAATCTCATAGGTGCCAATTAAGGCAGTCAAGTTGGTAATCATGTTTAACCATCACAGTTTTCCATTGGCTGACTTAATATTTTCCTCATCTGGAAAGATCTCTATTGGTCAGGAACTGTATCCTAGTGTTCTGACTTTCTCTGGTTTTATGCCATATTGTGAAAGAAGCTCTTCTTTGCAGACAGATGTTCATGCAGAGCTCACCTCCACAGGAGTGATTTCCCATCCTTTCCGGTGACCGTGTGACCTGCAGCATGACACCAGGTACTACAGATGCTTCAGTGCTCCTAGAGGACTGCACTGGGGGCATTCTGCTCCTGGAGCCAAGCAAGATTCAGTGCAGCTAAGCGGTTGTCTACATGCCCTGGTTCACCAATTGCATGTGCATGCATTAAGCACCTGTCAGATGCCAGGCCTTCTGCCAGGGAATGTGGATGCTGTACTTTATCAGTATAGTCCCTGCCCTCAAGGGGCTTGCATTCTGGCAGAGGAGATGAGCCTGTGAATGTGTACCAGGGATCGTTAGGCACAATGAGTATCTATGACTCCCAACGTGGGGTTCAGGAAGTCTTCAGAGCAGTGGAGCATGTAGAAGACTACTTTTCCTCCGAGAACCCCAGATGCTCTTAGACAGATATTTTCCTCATTCTGTGGTGCTTGTTCATATTTTTAGTAGACTAGTTTTTTGAAACAATTTTTTTTTTTATTTTAAAGAGGAAAAAAACCCTAACAAAACATCAACAATGAAGACAAAAACAGAACAAGATCGACCAATAACAAATGCTGGTGAGGCTGTGGGAAAAAAGGTGCAACAGTTTTCAAGTTGACATAAAATTTGAGAAGAATAATGACCATTGTTAATTTCCTATTCTGTATCATTTTTATTGTTTTTTTTCTTTTCTCTTTTTAAAATAAAAAAAAATGAGCAGAAAATGCAAAGAATTCCCATCTACCCCATCACCCATAAGCACAAACCTCCCCCACTCACTGCCGACATCCCCTTCAGAGTGTACTGTGCATTTGTTACAATGACTCTGTGCTGATGCATATTAAAGTCCATAGTCTACAGCAGGGCCTACTCTTGGTGCTGTGCATTCTATATGTTTGAACAAATCTGTGACATGTGTCCACCGTTACATCTCACAGAATATTTCACTGCTCTAAAACTCCTGTGTGTTCTGCCCATTCATCCCCCTTTCCCCTCTAACCTACATTCATCCCCCTTTCCCCTTTAACTTCTGACAACCACTGATATATTTGTTGTCTCCATAGCTTGGTATTTGCCAGAATGTCATATTATAGTTGGAATCTTACTATCATACAGAGCCTTTCAGATTGAATGCTTTCACTTACACACATTTAAGTTGCCTCCCTATTTTTTCAAGGCTTGATAACTTAATTACTTTTAGCCCTGAATAACATTCCATTGTCTAACTGTACCACAGTTTATTTATCCATTCACCTGCTGACAGGCATCCTGGTTGCTTCCAAATTTTGGCATTTATGAACAAAGCTGCTATAAACATCCATGAGCATATTTTCCTGTGGATATGTTTTCAACTCATTTGTAAATACAAAGCAATATGATTGCTAGATCGTATGGTAAGAGTACATTTGGTCTTGAAAGAAACTGTTAAACTATGTTCCAAAATGACTGCGCTGGGATGCACTTTGGAAAGGGCTTAATTTTGTACCAGGCAGCACCTATACGCTTTCAGTGACTCCAAAAAATTTCTCTGCTAAGCCAACTTTCCCCTCTAGTGGAGAGATGCCTCTCCCTCTGCCCTTCCTATTTCATCTTTACAATTTAAGCCTTCAATTCTGTCAAATTGCAAACCCCAAACAATTGGTTTTTGTGGTCATCAATCATGTATTCCTTGAACAAGCCTCATCCTAAGAGAAGTTTGATGAAGCACAATGGAATGAAGAAGATGAAGGGGAGGAAGAAATTTTATACATATATATATGTATTTATAAATATATTATATATATATTTTATATATATATATATATATATATATGGCCTATATGCTTCCTCTTTGTGGCATGTTTGCTGTATGCAGGGGGAGAGGTTTGTGCAGCTTAATCTAGCAAGTGAGGAGGGAGTTAATAGTCACTGAGCTAGAACTGAGGAGACAAGTCACAGAGGAACCACCTGTGTCCTTGAGGAGCTCACCACCAGGCAGGTGCAGACACAATTTCAATAGAACATGGTAAGTACTATAATCACAAAAGCCACTTTCCCCTGATTCTCAAGTAGTCTGTCTATGTGTTACTTGAGGTATCAAATCATGTGTTGCGGTCTTTGATGCGGAAAATATAGTTTGCTCTTATCTCAGCACTAAAACTTCCCAGAGGCTCAAAAGTGAGCATGATGGACTCACTGGAGGGCGTGAGGTGGCTTCCCAGAAGAGGAAGAACTGGGGTTTAATACTGTGGGGATGAAAGAACGTCTCTCTTTCCCCACAATGCAGATTAACAGAAGAAAAGCATACGTGTGTGTTTAATATGTTTTACGGACATGCAAACTCACAGGGATGAAGATCTAAGGAAGCAGGTAAACTTGGGTATTTTTACGTGTGATGAAGAGTGGACAGTTGTTGAGAAATACGATTAAAGGACAAAAGGATATGATGTAATAAACTGGGGGACACTTGGCAAGGCTTTCCTTTTAGATTCTTTCCCATGTCCCTTTGTGTGTTTTGCCATGCGTTATTGCTTTCTTTGTCACTGGGGCACAGTACCTAACACCCATAGCTTGAAGCAGGAGAGCCTTATTTTGGCTGGTTTTCAATCCACAGCTGCTGGCTCCAAGGCAGGAATCGCATGGCAGAAGGGTCTGACAGAGGAAAGCTGCACATGTCATGGCAGCCAGGAAGCAGACAGAGGAGCTGGGGAGGGATTAGAACCTTCTACATTACACTCCCAGTGTCCTGCCTCTTCTAAACAGGCCTCACTTCCTAACAGCAAGGCAGCTACATTCCTGTGATTCAGTCACCTTCTGAGCACATAATGCTTTGAGGCCCATTTTTAGATATAAATCATGACAGTCAGCTTTCTGTCACTGTGACAGAACACCTGAGATAAACAATTTAGGAGGAGGAAGGTTTATTTTACCTCATGGTTTTAGAGGTTTCAGCCCATGGTCACTTGGCTCTTTTGCTTTGGGCCTGTGGTAGCCCAGGATATTTCATGGTAGAAGAGCCCTGTTTACTTTCTGGAAGCCAGGAAGCAAGAAAAGCAGCAAGAGGAGGGACTGGGGCCCTCAAACTCCTTCATGGGCAAGTGCCTAAGCTACTAACTCGACTTTTAATGATTTTTTTTTTCTTTTTTTTTTGGTACCTGGAATCAAACTCAGGACCTTGTACTCGCCAGGCAGGTGCTTATGCCTCTGAGCTGTATCCCTGGCCTACTTTTAAAGGTTCTACCACCTTCCAATAGCAATCCATGCTGAGAACCAGATCTGTAACACATGGGCCTTTCTATCTCTTCTGGACAAGGAGGTACAACCATGAGCCTTTACATGCTAGGTTTGTCTTATCACTTGTACACAAACATGATGAGATTTTTTTTTCTAACAAATTGTTGAGTTCCTAGTACGTGCTTAGTGTTAAGAGAATAAAAAATGAAAAAGACATGATTGCTACCCTCAAGAAGTTTATAGCCTGAGAGAGAACTTTTATGTGTTAACCAAATTATTTGATCAGGTACTTATATGTAAGTTGTAACTCAGGTATTAATCCAATATAAATTCATCCTCTAAACTGACAGGACTTAGTAGATTCAAGATGGAGGGTGGTTCTTTTTGCTGCCTTCTTAAGCGTTTGTCCATAGAAGATGTTTGATTTCTGAAAAAATCAAGTATTTCTTCATGTTTATGGCTTATAAATTGATCCCAAACACTCAAACATTTAGCTCTGCCTTTTAAACCTTTTTTCATATTAGTTTTGTCTTACACAACCCACTTATAAAAGTTCTTCCATATATAACCCACTTTCCTCTCGCTCTGGGCACTTATGAGAACAAGAAGTCTAGGAAAAGGAAAACGATTATTTTGGGGTCAGCTCCAAGAAGACAGAATGCAAACAGATCCATGAGAGGTCCAAAGATGGCCCCCTAAGCTGAAGGACAGCATGAAGACTGGCTCTGTTCCCTTGTTGCTTTGGATCATTTAAAACTAAGCAGTGTCAACATCACCTGCGAGGCTGGCAGAAATGGGAAACTCCAGGCTCCACTCTGACCTGCGAGTCAGAATTTGCAGTTTAACAAGATACATTCTCCTAACATAAGGTCTTTCTGTCTGTCTCTGCCTCTCTCTCTGTTTCTGTCTCTGTCTCTGTCTCTCTCCACTTATCAGCCTCCCAACATTTCTCCTTTCTATCACTGTCCTCTCATCCCTTCCTCCCAAGTCTGTCTCACCATCACCTCCTTCAAAAAGTGTGAGCTTCCTATATTTTCCCCTTCCCCATTTCTCACTGATGAGTCTAACTTCCTCTCTGATTTCACAGGCAGCCTACTCTCCACAAATCAATCTTTTATCTCACTATATACACTTTAAGATGGTTATAGAGGACACAGACAACAGTTATTGAAAAGGTAAAATCAAAAGAACTCAGTAATTTGTTGCTAATAATTATATCCTCTATCGGTTATTTCATCCTTACCATGTGTCAGGATCTACATTACTCTGTGAAGCAGAGTTCTTAGCCTCATTCAAAGACATGGAAACCAAGCCTCAGAAAGTATCCATAACTTGAGAGATGGGCTTACGGAACCATACAGTGGCAAAGCAAGACTGGAACACAGAAAGTCTGACTCTGGGAACCAGACATTTGACGCTCATGCTGGGATGGGAGAAAAAAATGTGTGATGATTTCTAGGACTCAGATTATCTAACTAGGGCTGGAGCGGGCCATCAAAAGAGGTAGGAAAGACAGGAGAAAAGGCAGACATTTTGTCTTGGGTAGTTCAAGATACTACTATTTAAATCCCTAGTTTATTTCTGAGTTATAAAAATCGCTTGTTTTAAAAAAAATTTCCTGTCTTGTTTGTTCCACCTTTGTTAACTGTCAGCTCTGATTTTAATTTAAACTTAGTTTTTAAATGGTAAGGTAGATAGTATTCAAAAGGAGATAGAAGATAGATATGGGAGCAGTCACTGAGTCTTCTTTTTTTTTTGGTATTTTTGAGACAAGGTCTTGCTACGCAGTTCAGGCTGCATTGAGC